CCCGCCTGCCCCGGAGGTGACCCCATGGCGCGGCAGACCTCTCCTGACCCGCCCGCTGCTCCCCTCAGCAGTATACTCGTCATCTGCCTGTCCTGCTCCCCACTCTGGTGAATCCTCTCACTGCCCCCGCAACCTCTGGCCTGTACCCCAGTTCTGTGTGCACAAATAAATCTTTAAAAAAAAAAAACTGTAACCTGCATCGGCCTGTCATCCTCCATCAGACCTCCCTCAGCCCCTGCACCCCAGAACGGCGAGCCCGGCTGACTCCCCTGCCCTCCAGAGCTGCGGCGGTGCTGAGTGTAACCCTGAGAAGAACCTTAGGCACGCAAGGGGCACCCCTCTGGCTGTGCCAGTCTGGACCCCGGAGGGCTCCACGTGACCGAAGGAAATTCCGTGAAGTCACTCGCGCCAGCTGGGCGCATGGGCAGAGCAAGGCCCACCTGCCTCCTACGCCAGCTCGCCCGGCTCCCGCCCGGCCCGCTGCACCCCCTGGACGCCTGCATTGGGCAGGCCCTTTCGAGTCCGCAGCTCCCAGGGCCTGGGCTGGCTCGCGGCTGGGGGCTTCGTGTGATGCTGAGATCGGCCAGCAGAGGGGGTGCGCGGTCCGGCCCCAGGGGAGCTCCTCTCCAAGAACTTTTTATTTAGAAAGCCGGGCGGCCAGAGCAGCTGCAGTTCCCCTCGCAGCCAGCACCTAGCAGAGCCTCTGCTGCCGCCACAGCACCTCGAGCGCAGCCCGCGGCTGACCGAAGCGCGTCACCGGTCAGGGACTCCCAGGCCACCGGCCGCTCTCGGACGCCACACTGTGTCCTCCTGGCCTGGTCCTGCTGGAGGAGTGACCCCCGAGGAGTCTCTGGGCACCCCCCAGCCTCCTTCTATGAGTCCATCTGGATCTGCCCAGCCGTGGGGACAAGCTCCAGGGGGCTGCTGGGGTCTCTGAGCGGTGGCAGCAGCCGGCTCTCCGGTCACCATGGCGAGTGCCGGGAACTGAGGGACGGACCTCGGCAGGCGCACAGGTGGGTCTAGCAGCACTGTGTCCTGGCGGCAGGGTCCCGGGGGGCGGGGGGGCGGCCCCTCAGGCTGCAGATCTCGGAGGTGGCCACCGGCCGGGGGGTCCCAGCTGTGAGCCTGGGCCTAGGAGCCCCCCAGCTGCCTGCACTTGGGGTGCTGCAGGAGCTGAGCCTTCGTGGCGGCGAGCCTGGCTCGCATCACATCATAGGAGCCTGGCAGCGCCTATGCAGTGGGCGGTGGTCTGGGGCCAGGGCCAGCGGCCGCCGTGGGAGCGTGTGTGGGTGCGCGGCCCGGGCAGCCCAGACGAAGGGCGCCCTGCTTCCCAAACAGCGGCACCTCTGCAGCTTTGGGCTGAGTCGGGTCAAATAAACACAGTCAGGGGAGAGCTCTGAACACCGACCCAGCGAGCGTCACTCACTCAGTGGCTTTCACTTGCTTCTGATGAGTTTGAAGTCACGTGGGCCGAAGGAAAACTCCGAGCCCCGCAAAGTCAGAGCTGGGACCCAGCGACTCGTCTCTGCAGCAGCAAGTGGGGCTGGTGCCTCCCCCAAAGCAGGGGGGCTGACTGGGGTCCTGCTACCGCCAGAGGACCTGGGGAGTTGGGCCGGGCTTCTGCTCTGGTCTGCACCCACAATTGCCTTGTACAGATGGGACATAGCCAGCGCTGTTCCTGGGACTGCGTAGGCGGGAGGGAGGCCGGAGGATCCCGGGGCCCACCGAGTCGATGCTGGGGCGCTGTCGGTTCTCTCTTCTGGGCCCCCAGGCCCCGTGCGCCCGTGTCCAGAGGCCCCGGCACGCACCCCCTGGGCATGCTTGCGGTGCCCGCGGTGGGCGCCTGGGGTCTCCCTGCCACAGCGATGAGAGCCTGAGCCGACTGGCCAGTTCCCTGGTAATCAGAGCAGAGCTGGTGAGGCCTGAGCACCCTCCCTGCAGGTGCGCTGGGCTTCTCTGGGGGACGAGGGGCAGACAGGGAGCACAGGGCACCCTGGGGTACGCAAGCCTCCTCTGCTCCAGGAAGGCCCCCCCTTAGCCTTCAGACAGGGCTCGCCACTTTGTGTCCACACCTGTCCTCGCTTCCTGGCCTGTCCACCCACCTGGCGCTCGTCACTGCCCAGTCTTGAACCCTAGGAGTGGGGGCCGGGGGGACCGACACAGGCTTCCTGGGCAGGGCCCCTGTGGTTGGCCAGTGCCGGGGTGGGGTGCCCTGGCCTCGCGCCTCACCCTGCTGATACCGGGGGCTTCTTCACCCCTTGGGCGCGGTGGGCTTTTCTCTAAAATGGGGTGATGGATGGGTGAGCCCTGCCCTCACAGAAGTCCAGGGAGGACAGCAGCCTGGGGTCACGCGGGCTGCACCTCCTTCTCTTCAAGCAATGAGACGCACGCTCCCGGTACACCTTGCACGCGCGCACGCACACTCGTGCGGCCACGCGCACGCACACTCGTGCGGCCACGCGCACGCACACTCGTGCGGCCACGCGCACGCACGCCTGTGCAGATGCACGAGAGGGGCGGCTGCCCATCACCGCCTTGCCCATCACCGTGCTCCAGAGCGCGGCTGTGCTGCGGCTCCGAGGCCCCGCCCCACCCCGCCCCCACCCCGCCCCGGCAGGAAAGCAGCCCCCTGAAACCTGCAGCCCCCTGAAACCTGCCCGCAGGGACCCTTCTTGGGTTTCAGTCGCCTGCGGTTCTCTCTCCGCCCACATCTGGTCTCCTGCTCGGCCCTGCTCTCCCCTGCAGGCTCCCGGCTTCGCCCCTCCGCGGAGGGGGGCTGGGGGCCGAGGAGGGGCCGCCCTAGCCGCATTCCAGATAGCAAGCTGCACATTCTGGCCCCCCGCCAGAGCAGCGAGAGGGGGGCTGGGGGGGCGGGCGCCTGGACGGCTCACCTGGGGGCCGCCTCCCGCTGGCACCGCCTGGCACCCCCTGTGGGCAGCAGCGCCTGTTGCCTCTGGCAGAAGAGACACTGCCTCCCCGCGCCCTGGTGCGCCCCAGAGGAGCGAGGCCAGAGGGAGGGGACCCCACAGCGCAGGGCTCATGACGCCAGGGCGCCCCTGCGGCGGAGCAGCCGCCCTGGGCGGAGGGCTTGGTGGAGACTGGGAGCCGGACTCCATCACGCTCGGAGCAGCTGGGCGGGGGCCGTCCTGGGGCAGGGCGGAGAGCGCTGGCCGGCGTGGGAGCCGCCCCTCAGCTGGAAGCGGAGACACCGGGGTGCGGCACGCGAACGCTGCCGCGTGAGCTTGCGCGTGCACGCATGGCGGGGGGTGGGGGGGCCCTCAGCACCCAGCGTCCCTTCTGGCCATCAGGCCGGTTATGCAGCAGCCATCGGCTGCGGCCTCTTCTCGGCCTGAGCCCAAGGTCTCTGCAGACCATCGAGTCATGAAATCAGGTCTGTCAGCCAGACGACGCCCCTCCCACCTTGGGGCGCAGTCCCCTGCCCCCCAACCAGCGGCCTTGTCCCCACGCCAGGCGGCGGCCTCCAGGTCCACTCTTCTGGCCCCTGGTACATCTGCTCCCATCGGGGACCCCTTTCCCCCTCCTGGGGGATTTTGTCTTGCCAAGAACCCACGTTTTAAGAGCGTATTTGGGGGTTGGGAGGCGGTTCAGTGCCCAAAGGTGACAGTCAGAACCGAAGTCAAGCCACATCTGCGGCCGGGGCTGCGTTGGAAGGAGCCCACTGACCGCACGTGTGAGCCCAGAACCCCGAGCTCTCATGTCAGTAAACGCTGCCACTGGGCTGGAAAGGGGCGCTTGTGAGGCCTGGAGGACTCAGCGCCGGGTGGCGTCCGGAAAACAGCACGCTCCACCCCCAGCCCCCCACACTAGCTCACCGGGGCAACGGGGCAGCCACCGGGCCACCGCGTGGGGCCTGTGCACGAGTCACAGTGGGACAGAGCTGCACACGGTGCGTGCCGGACGGCTCCGGCCAC